CACTGAAAATTTGAGACATTCTTAAAATAATAAAACTTAACAGGGCACAGAAAAGATGGAAAATGAACACACAAAARAGCTGGTGTACTTTGTATTTAATGTGTTTATAAAACCAATTTATTAGAATTTTATATGGAATCAGCTACATTTTACTGTAATAACAAGATAGGGTTTAAAATTACTGATGGTGTGGTTCTATTTAAATATCTTAGTACACCATTCTGATAACATTTTGCTATAAAGTGAATAGATATTTGCATTTTGCTGCATAAGTTGTTGTTCTGTTTGTTTGGGTGCAGGAAACACTTGACTACTGATAGTGTGCCACTTCAAAAACTCCAATATTGAACTTCCATTTTAACCTTTGATTCACCCTTTTTGTTGAGTGTTTCATTTTGATAAATGTCAGCAAATCTGCTATATTTTAAATTGATTTAAACTTGTTCAATCAATCAACATACACGATCAAATTAACATATTTTTCCATCACTCATGGGTTGTTTTTAAACCGAGAAAGCTCAAACTCGAGTGAATAAAACTGACATGAGTGACAACTAAAAAGGTATCTTCACACAGTCGAATAAGCTGTAGTTTCTTTATAGTGGATTTTAAGAGGACATTATTTGTTTGGTTGCTCAGTATGGTGATTTCTCTAAGGATGGGTTGAAATGCATCTGTCAATCAATAGTAATACCAAGATTCAACAATCTTCTCATACTTTGTAATGGCTTAGATCTGCAACGAAATGTGACATGATTAATTGAAGAATTGGTATTGCCAAAAAATGTTCCTTAAAATGAAGACTTAACTTTTTTTCTATAATTAGATTGTAGGAATAAGGATCATAGCACCCAAATAGGGAGAAGACCAGTGTTGCAGGAAATGCACAATGATTGAATATTTTGAAATAACCAATCAGATGCTGTATCACCACACCTCTTTGAGTCATAGAAATATGAACATACAGTAGGTTCTAACAAATACAGGGTAAATATTAAATTTTAGATGACATAGCTTCTTAGTGATCAATAACAAAATTTAAATTTAAAGTAATAATAATTCTTCATCTGTACACCTAAAAGGTTTGTGATGACTCGGACCACCATTTGCCACATCTCATCACACGAGATCATGAGCGTACTGAGAAGAAAACACTTCACAYAGAGCAGGACAMGTTAGTGAGACAGGAAATGCTCTTTCATTGTAGACTCTGTGATAGCCAATCAGAAGCATTTAACATTGTGGGTACCACCCCTCTTTACTGTCGCTTAAATATCATTGAGTGTCCAAATGAGGACAGAGTCAAGATGATGCTCTTATGGGTCGCACTGCTTCTCCTTCATCAAGGATGTAAGTTCTACACAAGTAGAATGTATATAAAGACTAGATTATTCAATGTGTTTTTAGCAAACCATACTTTTTATCAAACTTGTTTTACATTGCAGCTTGTTTATTCATTTTTGCTTTATGATTAATTTAATTTACAGATGCATTGGTTCCAGTAATCACAGTTCAACTTGGTGAACGCGCAACTCTGACGTGTGACTTACCAGAGGAATGGGTGGGCCTTAAAAATMTCCACTGGTACAAGCAGGATGCTGGGAATTCTTTGAAATTAATCACAATGCTTCGTAAAAACACAAATCCTAAATATGGACCAGACGTTTCACCTTCAAGATTTACTGTAACGTACTTTGAGAAAACTAGCACTTTGACGATTCTTGAGTCAGTTAAAGAAGATGAAGGGATGTATCACTGTGCAATCATGGACTGGATTGAAAACACTTGGAGTGGGACCTATTTGTCAATAAAAGGTGAATATTTTAGYTTATTCAACTTTTAATAATTTAATGCCTTTCAAGTTGTATGTTTTCCTAACCACTTCAACAATGAACAATTAATGTGGCCAAGAGTGTTTTAGTGGATTTATCACTTTTATATTTTAAGATTTAAAATTGTTAATTAAATTAATTAAATATTTATGCATAATACACTCATTTGGTGTAAATAAAAAATGCAGGACATTTAACATAGTTGTTATGTAAAGTGATTTTTTTACCATTACTTAGAAATTGTTAGATGTGTTCCAAAGTTTTAGTTGTAATGCCTGTTTCGATATTCAATTTGTATTCTGCAGGAAACGGTGCAAGAACAATAAAGTACACAGAAGTACGGCAGTCTACAAAGACAAATCCAGTCCGTTTAGGAGACTCTGTGACTCTGCAGTGTTCTGTCCTCTATAACTCTGAGAACAAATCTTGTGCAGAAGAACCCAAAGTTTTCTGGTTCAGACCTGGATCCCATCAGTCTCACCCAGAAATGATTTACACTGATGACTGTGAGGAGAAACATGACAGGACGTGTGTTTATAGCCTCTCCAAGAACGTTACCTCCTCTGATGCTGGGACTTATTACTGTGCCGTGGCCACATRTGGAGAAATAATATTTGGAAAAGGTCTAAATCTTCAAATTGGTATGATTATTTGTGAGAACTATTGCAACAAGTTGTCAAAACCATTATATCTCAGTTTTTTTTTTAAATTGTGTTGTCTTCTAGAGAAACCAAAGGACCAAAACAAATTTAAGCTGCCGATTGCAGTAATCTGCATGATCATTTCTGTCTGTTTAAATTTTGGTTTCTGCTCTTGGACTCTAAGAGCAGCTTATAAACAAACTAAAGGTAAGTTTTATTGTTCTAATATGAAAAAAAATCTTTAAAGTTTTTTTT